ACCAAAAGAGCTTTTTCCTGCCTGCTCTGCTGCTCAGAAACACCAAAAGAGCTTTTTCCTGCCTGCTCTGCTGCTCAGAAACACCAAAAGAGCTTTTTCCTGCCTGCTCTGCTGCTCAGCAGGGCCTCCCTGTGCCTGCAGCTGGAGCTGGCCTGGCTCAGAGGAATTGTCCCCTCCGTGTCCCTGGTGCTGAGCCTCACTCCAGGTGTTCTGGTGGGAATTGTCCCCTCCATGTCCCCGGTGCTGAGCCTCACTCCAGGTGTTTTGGTGGGAATTGTCCCCTCCATGTCCCTGAGCCTCACTCCAGGTGTTCTGGTGGGAATTGTCCCCTCTGTGTCCCTGAGCCTCACTCCAGGTGTTCTGGTGGGAATTGTCCCCTCTGTGTCCCTGGGCCTCACTCCAGGTGTTCTGGTGGGAATTGTCCCCTCCATGTCCCTGAGCCTCACTCCAGGTGTTCTGGTGGGAATTGTCCCCTCCATGTCCCTGAGCCTCACTCCAGGTGTTCCACTGGGAATTGTCCCCTCTGTGTCCCTGAGCCTCACTCCAGGTGTTGTGGTGGGAATTGTCCCCTCTGTGTCCCTGAGCCTCACTCCAGGTGTTCTGGTGGGAATTGTCCCCTCTGTGTCCCTGAGCCTCACTCCAGGTGTTCTGGTGGGGAGCAGGGCCGAGGTGGGACCCAGGGGCACTTGGACACAGAACTCCCTGGGAACGTGGAGACCCCTGGGTTTATTTTGTGCCTTTCTCCCTGGCACAGGCAGAGGAAGGATGAGCTGGAGCAGAGGATGTCAGCGCTGCAGGAGAGCAGGAGAGAGCTGATGGTGCAGCTGGAGGGGCTGATGAAGCTGCTCAAAGTAAGGAATCTGCTGTTGGAAAGGCAGCAAATCCCTCCCTTCCCCGGCTGCTCTGGGCTCCCCTAAAACCCTTCCTGAGGAGCAGGACAAGTTTGCCAGGAGCCATCTCCAGCCCAGCTCTGTGTGGGGTGCAGGGGGTTCATGCTTTTCCAGGTTTGTGGGGGTAAAACACTGAGATTTGGAGTGGTTTAACAAAGTTTGATTTGGTAACTGGGGCTGAATAATTCCCACTCCCCCTGGGAAACAAACTGGGAGCAGGGCAGGATGAGAGTGCCAGGGATGAGGAGCTGGCCCTGCACAGCCCCTGCCACATCTGGGGTTTGTGTGAGGAAATGACCCTGCCACATCTGGGGTTTGTGTGAGGGAATGACCCTGCCACATCTGGGGTTTGTGTGAGGGAATGACCCTGCCACATCTGGGGTTTGTGTGAAGAAATGACCCTGCCACATCTGGGGTTTGTGTGGGGTTCTGACCCTGCCACATCTGGGGTTTGTGTGAGGGAACTGACCCTGCCACATCTGGGGTTTGTGTGAGGGAATGACCCTGCCACATCTGGGGTTTGTGTGAGGGAATGACCCTGCCACATCTGGGGTTTGTTTGGGGTTCTGACCCTGCCACATCTGGGGTTTGTGTGAGGGAATGACCCTGCCACATCTGGGGTTTGTGTGAGGAAATGACCCTGCACAGCCCCTGCCACATCTGGGGTTTGTTTGGGGTTCTGGTGCTGGCTCTGAGCTCCAACAGAACATCTTTGCTGGGTTTCTCAGGAAGCTCCTTCACTGTTTTCCTGGAGTCCCCCCTGGGCCGAGCTCCCAGCTGGAGACTGGGCTGGGAAATTCTGTCACACCTTTGTTCTGTCTGCTCCAAATCAAACAAGAGTTTGTGCAGCGAGGGGCAAAGCCTTGGAGAGCCTTTGGGACAAGGCCAGGAGCCCCAGAGGTGCTGTGGGAGGGGCAGGAGGGAGAGACCTGGCAGGGTGACAGTGGCACAGGGGGTGACAGTGACACAGGGGGTGACAGATCAGCTGTAGGCACATCTGGATGGTTCCAGGGAAATTCAGAGCCTCTCTACACTCAGAGGGAACAATGAATTCCCTGGAACTCACAAGTGCCATCACTCCTCAGCTTGGGCTTCATCCTGGGGCAGAATTCCAGCCCCTTCCCTTCATCCTGGGCTGGAATTCCAGTCCCTTCCCTTCATCCTGGGCCAGAATTCCAGCCCCTTCCCTTCATCCTGGGGCAGAATTCCAGCCCCTTCCCTTCATCCTGGGGCAGAATTCCAGCCCCTTCCCTTCATCCTGGGCTGGAATTCCAGCCCCTGCCCTTCATCCTGGGGCAGAATTCCAGCCCCTGCCCTTCATCCTGGGGCAGAATTCCAGCCCCTGCCCTTCATCCTGGGGCAGGGCTGTCCTTACAGGGGGTGATGATCCAACACCCCTCAGCAGGGCCTGGTTTATTCCCTGAGCACCACACACTGGCCCTGTTTGGGAATTCTGCTTTTCCTGAAGCCACTGGTTCTGCTCTGTGTTTTTCCTGCTCAGCTCATCAATGTCTGACTTCTAAAATCCCAGGAATCCCAGAATCCCAGAGGGGTTTGGGCTGGGAGGGACCCCAGAGCCCCTCCAGTGGCACCCCTGCCATGGCAGGGACACCTCCCACTGTCCCAGTGTCCAGCCTGGCCTTGGGCACTGCCAGGGATCCAGGGGCAGCCCCAGCTGCTCTGGGCACCCTGTGCCAGGGCCTGCCCACCCTGCCAGGGAACAATTCCTGCCCCAAATCCCATCCAGCCCTGCCCTCTGCCACTGGCAGCCATTCCCTGGCTCCTGGCCCTCCAGCCCTTGTCCAAAATCCTTCTCTCCACTTTCCTGGAGCCCCTTTGGGCCCTGCAAGGTCCCTTTTAGGTCACCCCAATAAACTTCTCTGGTTTAAGTTGTCTCCCCTCCCTATTTGAATATCCACCCCCAGCCCTGGGCACTCCAAGATCCATCACAACCTCCCTGCCCTGCCCCAGGTAACTCCTGGCTCAGGTAATTATTTTAAGCTGCAAATTCCCCAGCCTGCTGAGCTAAAAATATCATTTCTTGTAGATACTTCTGACACCTTTTCTCATTATTGGTGTCAGAGCCTCCCTGTCTGCCGGTGCAGACTCCAGGGGAAGGGATGAGGCAGACACAGGATCCCTCCCTCCCTCCCTCCTCCCCTGCTCGGGATTTCACCCCCAGCCCCAGGCTCTGGTTTGTTCCTGATGTTGGTGTTTATTTCCAGCTCTCATTTTCAGTGGTTTTAGCCCTGCCAGACACGATTTTTCCCCGCCAGGTTTTAGCTTCTCTCATCACTTGGAGCTCTTCAGAACTGCTCATGTATAATTTACATCAGCTGTTAAGCTTTTATGGGTTTTTTCCATTTTCTTATGCAGTATTTTTTTACATTTTTAATGCTGCCTTCATTTCCCCATTTAGGGCTGGATTCAGCTCACCCAGCTCTTCTTGCCTGGGATTTTTGGGGCCTCAAATCCCTCTCAAAATGAGAGTGAGGAAAGATCCTGTAGGTGTCAGCAGCTTCCCCTGAGGGGCAGCTCCAGCTCTGATATGTGGGAAGGAGCCAGGGAACAGCCAGGGGATTTGGGATGGGGATCAGGGACAGGCTCTTCCCCAGAGGTGCTGGCACTGCCCAGGCTCCCCAGGGAATGCTCCCAGCCCCGAGGCTGCCAGAGCTGCAGGAGCTGCCCTGGATGGGCCTGGTGGGTCCCTCCCAGCTCAGGACATTCCGTGACTCCAGGAAAGCCCAGCTGGGGAAGGCCATCCTTAGGTGTCCCCTGCAGGTTCATCCCTTCTCCCCACGCTGTGGTGCTTGGGGTCAGAGCTGGGAAAGGGCCTGGGACAGCCAAAGGTCCCTGGAACAGCCAAACCATTCCAGATCTGTGATTCCTGACTATTCCAGCTCTGTGATTCCCAGCTCTGTGATTCCTGACCATTCCATCCTGTGATTCCTGACCATTCCAGTTCTGTGATTCCTGACCATTCCCATCCTGTGATTCCTGACCATTCCCATCCTGTGATTCCTGACCATTCCCATCCTGTGATTCCTGACCATTCCAGCTCTGTGATTCCTGACCATTCCATCCTGTGATTCCTGACCATTCCCATCCTGTGATTCCTGACCATTCCATCCTGTGATTCCTGACCATTCCAGTTCTGTGATTCCTGACCATTCCAGCTCTGTGATTCCTGACCATTCCATCCTGTGATTCCCAGTTCTGTGATTCCTGACCATTCCAGCCTCTGATTCCTGACCATTCCCATCCTGTGATTCCTGACCATTCCAGCTCTGTGATTCCTGACCATTCCAGTTCTGTGATTCCTGACCATTCCATCCTGTGATTCCTGACCATTCCCATCCTGTGATTCCTGACCATTCCCATCCTGTGATTCCTGACCATTCCATCCTGTGATTCCTGACCATTCCAGTTCTGATTCCTGACCATTCCCATCCTGTGATTCCTGACCATTCCCATCCTGTGATTCCTGACCATTCCCATCCTGTGATTCCTGACCATTCCAGTTCTGCTTCCTGACCATTCCCATCCTGTGATTCTTGACCATTCCAGCTCTGTGATTCCTGACTATCCCAGTTCTGATTCCTGATCATTCCATCCTGTGATTCCTGACCATTCCCATCCTGTGATTCCTGACCATTCCCATCCTGTGATTCCTGACCGTTCCAGTTCTGTGATTCCTGACCATTCCCATCCTGTGATTCCTGACCATTCCCATCCTGTGATTCCTGACCATTCCATCCTGTGATTCCTGACCATTCCAGTTCTGATTCCTGACCATTCCAGTTCTGATTCCTGACCATTCCCATCCTGTGATTCCTGACCATTCCATCCTGTGATTCCTGACCATTCCCATCCTGTGATTCCTGACCATTCCATCCTGTGATTCCTGACCATTCCATCCTGTGATTCCTGACCATTCCAGCTCTGTGATTCCTGACCATTCCCATCCTGTGATTCCTGACCATTCCATCCTGTGATTCCTGACCATTCCAGTTCTGATTCCTGACCATTCCATCCTGTGATTCCTGACCATTGATGTAATTTGTTAATTGAGTTAATTGCCCCCTGGGGTCCTGCCCTGCTGTTCTCACAGGGCTCTCCCCAGGCTGTTGAGATTCAGCTCTGGGGTTTTCCAGTGTTCCCACAAATCCTCCCCAGGAATTGTGTTCCAGACACGGGAATTCCATGGAGTCACAGGCTGGGCTGGCAGGAAGGGAGGGAAGGGAGGGAGGGAGGGCAGAGGGGCTGTGGCTGCCCCATCCCTGGAAGTGTCCAGGTTTTTCAGCCCCTGGAGCCCCCAGGATGGAGGAGCTGTGTGTGCAGGCTGGGATTTGGGGTCCCTGCCCACCCAGGCCGTGCTGTGGCTCTGATGAGCCCTCCCTGGAGCTCTGCCTGCTCCTCCCAGGCTCCAGGGAAAGGCAGCAGACACATCCCATTTCTCTGCTTCCATTTCCTCCACGGGAATTTCCTGGGGCTGCTCCGGTGATTTATCCCCCTCCGTCCCTCCTGACAGGGCTCAGGCACATCTGGGCTTGATGCCAGGGCCTCTTTTTCAAACTAACAACTTCTTTTTGTGGATTGGAGATCATTTAAGATCTTTCCCCTGGCCTGGGTCCCCATCTGGTGCTGTGAGTCCTGGTGGGAAACGTGTGGTATTGGCCTGGGTCCCCATCTGGTGCTGTGAGTCCTGGTGGGAAACGTGTGGTATTTGGGATGTGGGGAAATCTGCCCAACAGCACCAAAGGCACACCCGAAGGAACCCTGAGTCCTGGGAGAAAACCCCAAAATATCTGCCCAGATGGCCTGGGTCCCCATCTGGTGCTGTGAGTCCTGGTGGGAAACGTGTGGTATTTGGGATGTGGGGAAATCTGCCCAACAGCACCAAAGGCACACCCGAAGGAACCCTGAGTCCTGGGAGAAAAACCCCAAAAATATCTGCCCAAAAGTGTGGGATTCTCCCCCAAACCCCAAAATATCTGCCCAGAAGTGTGGGATTCTCCCCCAAACCCAAAAATATCTGCCCAAAAGTGTGGGATTCTCCCCCAAACCCAAAAATATCTGCCCAAAAGTGTGGGATTCCCCCCCAAACCCCAAAATATCTGCCCAAAAGTGTGGGATTCTCCCCCAAACCCAAAATATCTGCCCAAAAGTGTGGGATTCTCCCCCAAACCCAAAAATATCTGCCCAAAACCATGGGATTCTCCCCCAAACCCCAAAATATCTGCCCAAAAGTGTGGGATTCTCCCCCAAACCCCAAAGTATCTGCCCAAAAGCGTGGGATTCTCCCCCAAACCCCCGGGCTCTGGTGGGAAAGCAGCTCCCAGTGGTCAGAGAGAAGAAGCTGCTTTAAATGAAGGGAAAGGTTCTGGTTAATCCTGCTCAGACGGGAGATCAGCCAGGGGAGGTTGATAAACGGGTTCATGGATTTCCAGGCCAGAAGGAGCTTTCATCCCACGGATTTTTAATTCCATGACCTGAATTTCTGGGGGGCCGTGCTGCTGCTGCCCCCTCCGTGTGCAGGGGGTCACCTGGACGTGCTGGCATTGCTGCTTTGGGGCACACGAGGCTCAGCAGCGCCCTGTGTCACACACAGGCTCAAAAATTTCCCCCAGAAAATTGTGAGAGGACAAAATCCATGGAAATGTGTGAATTACCAAGGAGACTCTGGCCTGGTGACAGTCCCAGCAATCCTCCTGCAGTGCAGGCAGGATGTGCCTCCACCAGGCCCACTCACAGGGGACATTTCCCTGCTTCAAACAGGGAGGAACCCACCCATATTTCACCTTTTTTTGTCCTCCAAGTCAGGAGGGGTCTGTGCTGGGACACTGCAGCCCAGGAGCTGCTGTCTGTGCCTCTCTCCTCATCTCTGGTGTCGTGTCCCCTCCCAGCTGTGGCTGCTCTGCCCTGCAGTGTTCCCCTGGCAGGGTCCTGCAGTGCCCAGGGGTCCTGCAGTGCCCAGGGTCCTGCAGTGCCCAGGGTCCTGCAGTGCCCAGGGGATGACTGCTGCTGCTGCTGCTGCTGCTGCTGCTGCTGCTGCTGCTGCTGCTGCTGCTGCTGCTGCTGGGGCTCTGTGCTGGCACATTCCTGTGTCTGGCAGTGCCAGGGGATGGCTCTGCTGTGTGCCAGGGTCACAGGCTGGGTTGGGAGGGAGCACAGAGCCCCCCAGTTCCCCCCAGCGTGGGCAGGGACAGCTCCCCCTGTGCCAGTGAAGGTCCTGGAGGAGCAGACACCCCTGGACATCCTGCCCTGTCTGCCAGGGATCCCCACTGTGATCCCCATCCCACCTGAGCGCCTGGGGCCACCACCCTGTGAGGTGACAATGGGACAAATGTCACCCCCCAGCCAGCCCTGTGTCCTGGCACCACGTGCTGTCCCCTCAGTGTGTGCTTTGGGGGAGAATTGTCATTTTCACACCATAAATAACCTTTCCTCTCTCTCTCTCCACCTTTTGCCCACGTCTCCAGGAAGAAGAGCAAAAGCAGGCAGTAAGTTGACTTCACTTTGTAGGTGATCTGACTTCTCTTTTTTATTTCCTTGCTGCATGAAATCCATTTTCTGTTAATTGGCTTGTATGCAAATGAACTCTGGGAATGGTGGGGGGGTTTTGTGCCTGGGAGCTGGAGCACAGCCAGTGTGAGGTGCCACAGAGCAGGGTGTGTGCAGGGAGGTGTTAGCCCTGCCATGGGGCTGCTGTGGGATCCTGCACGGCCAGGAGCCTGGGGATGCTCAGCTGGTCTCACACCCCTCCTGTGGGAGATCCCCGGGGGTTCCACGGCCTGAGGGCGCTTCCTTGTCCCTTCAGGAATCCTCTCTTTCGCCTCCTTGCCGCGCATGAAAAGCAAGGAATGATTTAACACTGTGGGCATGGCTGCACATCCTGCGCTGCTGCCGGGGCTCCCGGGCAGTCCCGGGGCACTGAGGGCAGGACAGGAGCAGGACACCAGAACACCTGCTCTCCATTCCCTGAGTGCAGGACACACCAGAACACCTGCCCTTGGCTGCTCTCCATTCCCTGAGTGCAGGACACCAGAACGCCTGCTCTCCATTCCCTGAGTGCAGGACACCAGAACACCTGCCCTTGGGGCTGCTCTCCATTCCCTGAGTGCAGGACACCTGCCCTTGGGGCTGCTCTCCATTCCCTGAGTGCAGGACACCTGCCCTTGGGGCTGCTCTCCATTCCCTGAGTGCAGGAGACACCAGAACACCTGCCCTTGGGGCTGCTCTCCATTCCCTGAGTGCAGAACACCTGCCCTTGGGGCTGCTCTCCATTCCCTGAGTGCAGAACACCAGAACACCTGCCCCTGGGGCTGCTCTCCATTCCCTGAGTGCAGGACACCAGAACACCTGCCCTTGGGGCTGCTCTCCATTCCCTGAGTGCAGGACACCTGCCCTTGGCTGCTCTCCATTCCCGTTTTCCCTGCTCACAGCCTGTGTGGGTGTCGGGATCCACTCCAGAGGGAGCCCTTCTGCTTCCCTCGGCAGCAGCCAGATGTTGAGCAGCTGCTCCCCAGCAGAACGTGGCTCCCTGGCACCCCGGTGCCGGTGCCCAGCGAGGGTGGGTGGCACCCTCTGCTCCTCTGGATGCTGGGCACGCTCAGCAGCCCCTGTTTGCTGCAGGGAAACACATCCTGGGGTGGCCTCTGCTGCTGGGAACATTTCAGTTTGGCGTGTGCTGGTGCCTCCTGGCTGGGTTTGGTTGCTTTAACCCAGTCTGGGTGAGGGGGCACCTTCCACTGGAGCCCAGCTCACCCCCAGGTGGCCACAGAATCCTGGATTTGGGGGGGAGGGGACCTTAAACCCCTGCTGGTGCTGCCAGGGACACCAAAGCCGTGGATGCCACGTGCTGTAATTGTGATTGTCGCGTTGGCACTGTTACAGCACAGGACACCTCTCAGTGTCCCAGGCTGGGACACATCCCTGGCCTGGGGCACTGCCAGGGACCAGGGCAGGAGCCAGGAATGGCAGCCCAGCCCCTCCCCAGCCTGCCAGGGAGGGGTTTGGTTCACTGAAGGAAGCAGGAGCTTCAGGGGTGTCCTGGGGGAGGGAGAAGCCCCAGGACACGGCCAGCCCTGCTCTCCATGGCACTCAGGGTGTCCTTCTCCTCCCCACAGCAATCCTCTGCAGGGAAAGGCTGTGCTTCTGTGAGCTCCATTTTGATTGTGCAGACAGAAAAAGGGAGAATATCAGATCAGGGAAGGAGCTGATGAGTTTTGTGTCCCTTTTTTCCCTGGAACACTGTGCCAGGAGGAGGAGAAAGAGCCAAAACTAAAATAACATCAGCGCAGTGCCATTCCATCCGGGCCCATTCCTTTGGAACCAGGGATGGAGGAGCCACAATTGATTTGAAGCTCAAGAAAGGCAGGTTTTGACCTACTGAAGGAGACATTGTAGGAACTGAAGCTTTGCATCCTTCCTTTGCATGGCCTGCAGTGGCTGGAGCTGCTGTGAAGGCGCAGCCAGACATGCCAGGGCAGGCTGAGCCCTTGGCTGAGGCTGGCTGGGGTGGAAAGGCAGCTCTGGAGAGCACTGGGAGCACCTGGCTGGGGTGGAAAGGCAGCTCTGGAGAGCACTGGGAGCACCTGGCTGGGGTGGAAAGGCAGCTCTGGAGAGCACTGGGAGCACCCTGCTGGTCAGAACAGGCTGCTGGGCTCTGTCCAGCGCCATGGAAACAGCCAAGCCCACTCTGCTCCGGCTGGGAAGGGGCTTGGAGCCCATGGTGTTCCATCCCCAGCCCTGGCAGGGACACCTCCCGCTGTCCCAGGCTGTCCCAGGATATCCCAGGCTATCCCAGGCTGTCCCTGGAGCTGTCCCTGGAGCTGTCCCCAGGCTGTCCCAGCTGTCCCAGGCTGTCCCAGGATATCCCAAGCTGTCCCTGGCTGTCCCAGGCTGTCCCTGGCTGTTCCAGGATATCCCAGGCTGTCCCAGGATATCCCAGGCTGTCCCTGGCTGTCCCTGGAGCTGTCCCAGGCTGTCCCAGGCTGTCCCAGGATATCCCAGGCTGTCCCTGGAGCTGTCCCAGGCTGTCCCAGGCCAGGGGTGGCTGTGTGGGGTGAAGGTGGATGAGCAGAGCAGCCGTGGATCAGCACCAGCAGCACAATGCTGGCTTCACTTTGGGAATCTCTGCTCTTCCTCCCCCTGGGGCTGCAGGTCCCTCCCTGCCTCCTCATTCCTGTCAGGAGAGGGCCACTCTCCCATCCCCTGTGCTGCAGCAGGTCCTGTGCTCAGAGCTGCTCTCCAGCCAGGCTGGGCAGTTCTGCTGAGAGCTGGGCAGGAGCAGAGCCCCGTGAGGAGATGGATGTCATTCTGGAGCCTGGAGCCACGCTGGGACTGCTGTGTACAGTGAAACCCAAATTTCCAGCAGGGCTGGGATTGCTGTGTCCAGTGAAACCCAAATTTCCAGCAGGGCTGGGATTGCTGTGTCCCAATAAAACCCAAATTTCCAGCAGGGCTGGGATTGCTGTGTCCCAAGTAAAACCCAAATTTCCAGCAGGGCTGGGATTGCTGTGCCCCAGTGAAACCCAAATTTCCAGCAGGAGCCTCTCCATGGCCCAGCTGCTGGGGAGCCTGGATAATGTGCATTTAACCCTCTGTGTTCCGTGCTGGGAGCTCGCAGGGATTCCCGAGGATGTGCAGCACAGGGATGGTGTCCTTGGGCTGTCCCACGGCCCCACAACAGCCCCAGAGCAGCATCAGGAGCATCCCTGGTGCCAGCCAGGCACAGGAACAGCTCCAGGGAAGGAGCTGAGGCTCTGGGGTGCAGTCTGTGCCCTGGGAGCTGTGGGAACAGCGGAGCACAGGGGCCCAGCAGCTCAGGGGCAGCAGGAGATGTGGATGTGCTCAGCCAGCGATGGGATGGGGCCGTGGGAGGGTTTCTCCTCAAGCCCATGGAGAGGGAGTCAGGAATTCTCGTTTTCCTTCAGGTGGGTGTTTGGGGGAGACCTTCCAGCACCACCCCTGAACCAGCTGAACCTGCTCAGCCTGGCTCCAGCACAGCCAGACAGCCCCAGAGCCCTGGGAGAGAGCAATTCCCAACTTCCAGAGCCCTGAGACAGCAATTCCCAACTTCCAGAGCCCTGAGAGAGCAATTCCCAACTTCCTGAGCCCTGGGAGAGAGCAATTCCCAACTTCCTGAGCCCTGAGACAGCAATTCCCAACTTCCAGAGCCCTGGGAGAGAGCAATTCCCAACTTCCAGAGCCCTGAGACAGCAATTCCCACCTTCCAGAGCCCTGAGACAGCAATTCCCAACTTCCAGAGCCCTGGGAGAGAGCAATTCCCAACTTCCTGAGCCCTGAGAGAGCAATTCCCAACTTCCTGAGCCCTGAGACAGCAATTCCCAACTTCAGAGCCCTGGGAGACAGCAATTCCCAACTTCAGAGCCCTGAGACAGCAATTCCCAACTTCCAGAGCCCTGGGAGACAGGAATTCCCACCTTCCAGAGCCCTGGGAGAGAGCAATTCCCAACTTCAGAGCCCTGAGACAGCAATTCCCAACTTCCAGAGCCCTGGGAGAGAGCAATTCCCAACTTCCAGAGCCCTGGGAGAGAGCAATTCCCAACTTCCACAGCCCTGGGAGAGAGCAATTCCCAACTTCCAGAGCCCTGGGAGACAGCAATTCCCAACTTCCAGAGCCCTGAGACAGCAATTCCCAACTTCCAGAGCCCTGGGAGAGAGCAATTCCCAACTTCCAGAGCCCTGGGAGGGAGCCTGGTGTCCGTGTCAGAGCCTGAGGCTGCTCCTCAGTTCTGCATCCAGCTCTGCCTCGGCCAGAGGAGCGACAGGGGAGAGCCTGGAGGTGGCCAAGGAGGGCTGGAGGTGGCCAAGGAGAGCCTGGAGGTGGCCAAGGAGAGCCTGGAGGTGGCCAA